AGCGGTTGCGACATCCTTAGATCTAAGTTTTTTTTTTATATCCTTTAAAAATTATAATATTTTGCAACACTTAATTAAGGCTACTAAAGTTTTTAATAACTACTTTCTAATACGCTTTAAAGTAGTTTCTTAAAAAGTAGTGTTTTTTATATTAACGTACTTCACGGGCGAGTTGCTCACACACCTAAGTCACTTACTTTTGCTAAGACCCTACTAAACTACTCTTCCTACACTAATGCATTCTCTATAACACTACTTAGATGTGCTAAAAGAATGTTAGATATAGCTTACGCTTTAAGCTTTTAAATAAGACATAAAACTCTTAAAGAAATATGCTATAGCTATATATAAAGTTTTATAAAAGATAATAAATAACTATAGTGCTAAATAACCTTTACAAGCTAATTCTACAGCTAAATTATAAAGGCTAGGTAATAAAAAGAAGTAGGTAATTATTAAGACTATACTTAAGCTATATGCGTAAGGAATTTCCTCTTAGATAGCATTTATAGCTAATATAGCTAATTCTTTGCGCGCTAAGCGTAATTTAGGCTATGTTTATATAAACTAGCCTAGTACGTTTATAAAGTGTTATTTAGAGCTTAAAGTAAAGTTTTAAGTGTAAGTATAGTTAAAAAATATTTAGCTAATTATAAACTCTATTTTGCTAAAGTTATATGTGTTATTATTCTAGATGCTATACTTAGCTTTAATATTCTTTATAAGGCTAAACCTGCTCTAAATTACTCTAGAACTCTTATAAAAAGCTCTCTTATAGTTATACTTACGCTTAAATGTTACTTTAAGCTCTAAATAACACTTCACAAACATACTAGGCTAGTTTATGTAAACATAGCCTAGATTATGCTTAGCGCGCAAAAAATTAGCTATATTAGCTATAAATGCTATTTAAAGGGAAATTCCTTGCGCATATAGCTTAAGTATAGTCTTAATAATTACCTACTTCTTTTTATTACCTAGCCTTTATAATTTAGCTGTAAAATTAGCTTATAAAAGTTATCTAGCGCTATAGTTATTTATTATTTTTTATAAAACCTTATATATAGCTATAGCACATTTCTTTAAGAGTTTTATGTCTTGTTTAAAAGCTTAGAGTATAAGCTATATCTAACATTTTTTTAGCACGTCTAAGTAGTGTTATAGGGAATGCATTAGTGTAGAAAGAGTAGTTTAGTAGGGTCTTAGCAAAAGTAAGCAACTCAGGTGTGTGAGCAACTTTCCTGTGAAGTACGTTACTAGTAAAGTTTATTATTTAATTTTTTTAATATTTTTTTATCTATAAAGCTGTATTTAGTAGTAATAGCTTTTATTATTATAGTAGTATTTTTATTCTCCCTCTTTTAGAAGTCTAGATAATTTTAGCAGAAATGTCTTACTTTTTTATAGTTTAGGCAGGCTTTATTCTTTAGCTATTTTTATTACTTTTTAGTTAAAGGCAGCTTATTCTGTCTAAGAGCTTAGCTTTTCTTTAAGGGGTAGCTTTATATATATTTTATGTAACTAAGGTCTATTAGTTTTTTATTATAATAAAAGGCTTCTTTCTTTTTAAAAATAAACTTAGGTTTTTAAAAAGCTCTTTTACACTATTTTTTTTATTTACACTTCTTATGTCTATTATTATAAAGTGTTACTTTTATAATAAAGTTTTTTAACATTATTAGTTTTTTATTATGTATAGATTTATTCTTTATTATGTTTTTTAACTTATTATAAAACATTTAGTAAAGGGCTTTTTAATTTGTTTATCTACAAATCACTAATTATTCTCTAAAGTGTGCTATGTAGTGCGGCGCAGTTTCTTTTCTTTGTTATAAAGTGTCTAGTTTATTAGCAGTAATCTTTTATTTATTTATAGTTTTATAAAGAGTAATTAAAGCTTTTTTAAAAGTATTAAAGCTGCTAAATATTTTTTTAGTTTTAAAGTATAGTGCTATACTATTAGCTTTAAAGTTTATCTAATTATTTATGTGTAACTAGAACTAAATTACTAGGGGTCCTTCTAAGTGTAATCTTATCTATAATATTATTTCTTTATTAGTCTAGAATGCTCCTCTGTTGTATTATATATAGAGATAGCATTAGGTAAAAAAGAGTTAAGGGTTTTTTTAGTAATCTTTTAAAAAGCTTTAAAAGGGCTAGTTTTAAAGTCTTTTTAGCTTAAATACTTACTTTTTTAGCTAATGCATTCTAGAGATTTGCTAGGCTTACTTATAGCACATAGATTTAAGAGTTAGTAGCTGCAGTAGCTGTAGCTGCTTAAAGATTTATTGTTAGCAGTTAAGCACTTAGTTAGGTAAGTTTCTAGTTTATATGCTTTAAGTTTTTTTAGAAGTTTACTAGTTTAGTAACTTTATTACTAATTTACTAAAGTTTTTTAGTGTTGTTTTAGATGCTATTAATTTACTTAGCTAAAACTTTTTCTTTTATAGTTAACACTTTTATAGATTCTAATAAAGCTGCATAGGCTATGTTAGAATTAAGGTTATGTTAAGAAGTTATACTTTCTAGAAGTGTAGTGTTTAATGTTATAATCCTTGCTTCCTAGAAGCACGCAGGTTAATGTTATCTCTAGGGAGTAAAGCAGAATATAAAAGAGGCTAACAGTAGGGTGTACAGTCCTACGTAATAGCTAGTGGGCTATAGAGTGAGGTAGGGTGACTAGATTGTAGTTTGTCCCTGTTCAGCAGTATAAAGGCTAGGTTAAACAGTCCTGTTAGATAGAATTAGAGGTATATATGTTGCAGAATATATAAATAGTATTATAGCTCTTTAGAAAGCTAAATGCTAACGTACTTTACAGGCAAGTTGCTTACACACCTAAGTTGCTTACTTTTACTAAGACTCTACTAAACTACTCTTCTTACACTAATGTATTCCTAATAACACTACTTAAACATACTAAAAGAATGTTAGATATAGCTTACACTTTAAGCTTTTAAATAAGACATAAAACTTTTAAAAAAATATACTATAGCTATATATAAAGTCTCTTAAAAAATAATAAATAACTATAGCGCTAGATAACCTTTATAAGCTAATTTTATAGCTAACTTATAAAAGCTAAGTAATAATAAGAAGTAGGTAATTATTAAGACTATACTTAAGCTATATGCGCAAGAATTTTCCCCTTAAATAGCATTTATAGCTACTATAGCTAATCTTTTACACGCTAAGCATAATCTAGGCTATATTAGCATAAACTAGCCTAGTATATTTATAAAGTGTTATTTAAAGGTTAAAGTAAAGTTTTAAGTGTAAGTATAGTTAATAAATATTTAGCCTATAATAAAGCGTATTTTACTAAAGTTATATATATTATTATTTTAGATGCTATACTTAGCTTTAATATTCTTTATAAGGCTAAACCTACTTTAAATTACTTTAAGACTCTTATAAAAAGCTTTCTTATTATTATACTATACTTAAATATTACTTTAAGCTTTAGATAACACTTTCTAAACATACTAAGCTAGTTTATAGTAATATAGCCTAGATTATACTTAGCATGTAAAGAATTAGCTATAAATGCTATAAATGCTATCTAAGGGGAAAATCTTTACATATATAGCTTAAGTATAGTCTTAATAATTACCTACTTTTTATTATTACCTAGCCTTTATAAGTTAGCTATAAAATTAGCTTATAAATGTGTCGCAACTGCTGATCAGGGAGCAATGAGGAGCAAGTCTATTGACTATGAGAGGCTCATAGGGAGCCTGCCTATGTAGTGGGAGCTCCGGCGCCAAGTGTCTCAGGCTGCTCGTCCGAAACACAGGTGCGACACCAGGACCATGTGCTCTCTTACGTGTAAGGCCGGATGTCCCAGAACGGGCCAGTATGGCCTCACCTGACCTGTTTGGAGGTCGTATGACCTGTGCTTCGTATATAAGCATGAATCCTGACAAGCGAGGCTTGGCAGCGATTCGTCTCTCTTACAATACACTCCTATCTTTCTCCGAAAGCTTGCTCTCAGTGCTATTCGTGCTACCTACCATCCCATCTTTACATTACGCGATAAAATGTTATCTAGTGCTATAGTTATTTATTATTTTTTAAAAGACTTTATACATAGCTATAGCATGTTTCTTTAAAAGTTTTATGTTTTATTTAAAAGCTTAGAGTATAAGCTGTATTTAACATTCTTTTAGCACATCTAAGTAGTGTTGTTAGGAATACATTAGTGTAAAAAGAGTAGTTTAGTAGAGTTTTAGCAAAAGTAAGTAACTTAGGTGTGTAAGCAACTTGCCTGTAAAGTACGTTACTTAGTCTATGTAAAACGTAACTAAATAATAAACTAAATGTTAAACACACCTTCTAAAGGTTTATTTAAGCTAAAACTATATACATGTCTAATAGTGCTAAGAACAAGTTAGCGTAAGTTCTTATAAGCTTCTATTACTGTCTTCTTAGTAAGCTTATTAGAACTTATAAGAACTTATCTTAGCAGCCTTAGCTACTTATTTATTAGATAATGCACCCTTCTATAATCCTAGGCAGCTGCGCTGCCTCTGTGTCTTCCAATTGGTCCGTAAACAGGTTCTGTTCCAAACCGGCTAGTTTGTGGAGCACTGCAGGTGGAGTTAGGTCGGTCCAACCATAGACTGTAACAACAGTATACTAAAGTAAACTATAAAATATAAGCGCAGTAAAGATCTCTACTATTAGCAAGTTTTAACTTAAGGTGTACATATAAGACAACCTATATATAGAAATTAATTAGACACGTAGCTAAATAAATATTAGCTTTAAAGGCTAGACACTAAAGAAATTAATTAGTACTATATAAATTTAAAACTTAATTAGTCTAGTTACCTACTATATTCTAGAAACTCTAATACTATTTCTGCTATTACTAGCAGATGCTAAGTAACTTAAGGTATACTTTAATAATATTCTAATCATTATTATACATAAAGACAAACTACTATTTTTATTATATAAAAATAAGGACACATTTTTTTTAATGTTAGTAAGAAAGAATGTCGCGTATACTGAGAGCCTTGGCTGGGGCTCAGAGCCTGGGACGCAGCTCGGGATCTGGAGATATTATGTTCCCAAGCTCGGTGTATATAAGGAGAGCCTTCAGCTCTCTTAGATAGCAGACTCACTTCATCCGATCTTCTGAACAGCTACTGCCAGGCTATTTTATCCTCCACAAAGAATCTATATCCTTCTTTACTAAATTAGAACTCTACTGTCTTGACAAGGTATTAAGATCTAAACAAGGTGGATTGTACAAGTGTATTGTAAGGTCTAAGGAGCTCTAGGCTGACTATATACTGTACGAGAAAGGAGCTAGTCCTAATGAGTGAATAGTGCAGTACACAGATATGGTATCGCGTGAGACACGTGCGACAGCTGCGTTGCCGCTGCTATATTGCACTTTGCTAAGCCATGACTTTAAAAGTACGCTGTTTATTTAAGCAAGAATCCCTAGTTATTACTTCTAAATTCACGTTTCTTATTAGCCCTTCCCATGTTGTTATGATTTGAAGGTAGTATTTCTTTCGTGGGCGGCCATTGGCGGGTTCAGGTATTAGCGGGTCGTGACGAAGGAGTGAGGCGGTTCTACTCCGATGCAAGCATTTGGACGTCTATTTGCTTTATCGATAGCGGTATTTCTGAGGTAGATGGGAGAGTGTCCGGCTGCCCTTGTCAATGCTGCAGGATGAAATGATGGCGCACACTTCCAAATGTTATACTCTTAACAAGCCTAGAATTCTTGTGGGCCCTGTGGTTCTGGGTCTTGCCGGCTTTTCGGGGATTCCGGAAGCCTTGCAACACGTTACATGTGAGAATCACCTCTTGGCGCTAGATACGTTGCAGAGCTCTCATGGAGTCGGATTCTTAGAATGCGGCCTCTCCGTAGCATCTCGAAAATGAGCGAAACGAACTCTGGAAAACTCAGCCTAGTTCACTTTACTGTCCTTTCTTTCTTCCAACTGTCTAGATAAGACGCCTATAAGACCCTCTTAGGTTATTTTGTAGCAGTAAAAGCGATTAATCTTTGTCTCGAGATTTTAGGTTCGCGAGATAGAGACCTCTTGGATCGGTTTTGGGACCCCATGAAATGTTTTCATTTGTCATTCCTGGATACACTAAACTATCATACATGGAAAGGTCGACCCTTTGCGGTGTTTTTAGTCGTATTGCATGTTTGATATGGAAATCATACATATATGGAGACAAAGATGTTATGCATAGGGGTATATAATGCGCGAATTTAGCGTAGCGACCGATAAAAGTGCGACAAGTGGAGCGTGAATACCTCGTCATAAGCATCCATTGTCCCGTGCAGGCAGTCTCCAGTGCAATGGAAAAGAGTCAGAATATGGTCTGAGTCATGCAAGACTTACTGAGCCGATAGGAAAGTCGACCGGACAAAAGAATATGGGGAGCATCGTCAAATCAGTCTGTAGGAAACCCCGACAGCTAGGAAGCACAGCTCGCCGACGGCATAGCACCTCATAAAGGTCGCCATGACGAATGTTGCAGCCTGCAATCCTCCCAAATGACAAAATTGTCTCAGTATACGCGCGGTGCTCGTTGAAGTAGAAGCGCCGACTCCGATACGGATGCTTGAAGATTTCGACTAGCGGGACCCTTCGAATCGAATGCGACACAGAGACAGAACCCGGTTCTAATGTCTGAGTCTTGGTTTGAGGATGCCGTACCGCTCTGCGTCCCTGCGTCCCAATACCGCGTCGTATGGAGGATTCTGGGAAGAGACGACAAAAAAGCGACTCTGATACTCTATATTAGAGTCATCCTCCAGATACCAGACCAAATCCACGTATCCCCTCACTGATTCCTCGGATGATCGTATGGTATTGTGCGGGCTGTGGGGAGAGTCCGCATCGATACTCTGGATAGGCTCGTGGAGTACCGACTTAAAGAGGTGGTGAGATATAATATTGTTCTCCGATGCTGTGTCAACAGTGAGGATTGCATGGCCGCATTTCTCTGTGCTGTTGCAACGGATTACTATTCGAGTGGGATGTCGCAGTCTCCGGTGTCTCTGCAACGTGTTAACGTCAATGTGCCGAATTTCTTTCCATAAGCGCATCGAAGCCGAACCTTTGATTTTCGTAGAAGAAGATATAATGGATTGCACCCACATCCCATGTTGGGGTAGGGCATAACGTGGTGGTAAACGTAAGGTAGACTTAAAGGGCGTAACAGTGAGGGACTTGGGGGACTCCTCACCGGTTCAAGGGGGATGAAGTGCTTTCTGCACGAACCAATAATAGTGGCGCCTATGTCGCACACTACCTGCCTCCTGCAGTAATGCTTTCAAGCAACGTCTCCCGCCCCATGAGGGACCCCAACCCCCTTCGAAAGCCTCCGTCATAGCCTACATTTCGGGTCCGATATACTATTCGTAGATAACAACAGAGTAGCTTTTAGTGTTGCAAAGAACAAGGTCAGGCTTTACTATGCTGTTGGCCTCACTTATCGGAGGCTACGTTGTCGTTCTCCATTTGCCCACCAGTGAAGGCGTGCTCTTGAGACTGTCAAAGGGGCAACGCACGGATGTTGCCCTTCGGCTGGGGAGGGACGCACTAACCTTAACTTCTCAAGCCATCATTTTAATTGGTTGAGCTCTCGCCTTCCGGTGAGTTATTTTGACATTAGCGCGGCCCAGCTGCAGCATCATCTGAAACTGCATCTTTGATTGGACTTTGAATCACCCGGTGCATGTGAGATCATTGCGCCACAATTCAAGCTGATAACAGGGCGCTGTCATCCCTCTGAAGGGCTTAACCAGTCTTAGCTGCGACGAAGAGAATGTGTGATGCTTCTTACAACGCCATACCGGAGTAGTCTCAACGGATCGTGGACAATCCAAGTCCGGCTACACTTTGTACCAGAAGCTTAAGCTCTCCCGTGGACAGGTGTTCCCGAAATCCAGAGTTCGAACAATGTCGTACATTGCTCTTCGGAGACTTCATATGTGATACCACTCAAGCTTGATGCAGCCTGATGCACGCCTTCGCCGTGGGCGTGAAGGACTGGACCATGAAGGCAACCACGTAGACCTCAGCCGGAAAGCATACGCAAGATTTTGACTGAATAGCAATCAAGCGTGCTTCTTAACAGTGGCCTCGGAGCCATCTCAGGCTCAAGGCTATCCCCAGATGCTTCCCTAGAGGTTTCACGCTCGAAATTAATTTATGCGGGAATGATGCCTTCTAACGACCCCTTCCAGCACATTGTTGTGGGTTACCCGAAGCTCGCAGCAAAGATCGAAATCCAGCCAGAAGCAGCTATATTCCGCAAGTTCGGCGCTCTCAACGCACAAAATCTCCTTTATTTTCAGGCTGAGCTGACCTGCCTGGAACAAGAATTGAGAGACCAGCAGCTTGAAGACGACAACGATCGAAATCCGGACCAAGGGGTGAAGAAATGCAAATATGCGAAGAGCTGGGACTGGTTGCGAGATTCACAAGAGGATGGTGATACCACTCAACTCGACCTGGTCCTCAAAATTCGAGAAACTTTGAAGGAATACAGTGAGAGCGCACTTGCTAGCTGAGAATGTGTCAGTGTTTTCTCGCTAATCGAAGGCAGACCACGCTCTGCTTCAACAGTCTATGATCTTGAATCTGTCGAGTCCGGGGAAATGGGATCTTCACAATCTGCAGGACTACCTGCAGGCTCCAGAGATGGGCCCGCTCGCGTTAGAGGGAGAAGATGCCACTATATGGGGCTCAGTAAAGGATCGGAAGTCGCACAAGCCCGACCTCGTCGCACTGTGCCCTCGCCGACGAGAAGATGCATTCTCCTCCTGGGTCGCCGAGAGTGCAATAGTCAATCTCTTTAGGTGTGGATGTGCCCGCTTTATGAAGCCCTCACGAATCCATGGAGTTGTTGGATACGAAGACAGCACGATTTATCGCATCACCTACTGGATCACAAGCATATTGGCGTCCCTAATCCCGATAGCATCAATTGTAATCCTATACTGCGTTTACTCCATGCGTGCAAGGCTAGGAATCATAGCTGCATTCAACTTACTAGTAGCTGTGTGTTTGATGGGGCTGGCCAATGCAAAGCGCGCCGAGGTTTTTGCTATTACAGCTGCGTAAGTATCCCTAAGACATGGGTAGTGGTACCGGCTTATTGTGATAGGTTTGCTGCTGTGCAGGTGGTCTTCGTTAGTGCGGACAGTAACTCCTACCGTGATATTGGACCCATCTGCAAGCAATATTGCTGAACCGATGAAGCGGATGAAAGCACGTTCGAAGTGGAAGCAAAGTGGGAATCGAGAATCACAGTGCAGAGAGGATTTGAAATATCATGCGATTCTTTGCTAACGTTTGAGCAATGCGAAGCTATCATCTCATTGTCGTTCAGCTACCAAGCCCGTCATACATTCATCCCCGAATACGTTGAGTCGACCTGATACTAGATCCCTCGCCAGTCGCCCTGTGAACATTACCTTAAAAGGTTCCTTTTTTACACAGAAGAGTATCTTGTTTTAGTTAACCTAGGTAGAGTTAATTACTATAAACGTGCAACCACTATCTATTAGAGCAAGGCCTTCTTATTTGCTACCTATGCGTCTTAGGGTAACTTTAGCTGTTAAGCTTCTTCTAAGTTCTTATTCTACTACTATTAGGACTTTTATGTTATAGTAGACTTTATTATAGTCTATGCTAATGTTATCTTGCTTAATGCTTAGGACGTAACATACTTCATGGGCGAGTCGCTCACACACCCGAGTCGCTCACTTTTGCCAAGACCCCACCCCAACAAACTCTATTATGGCCTATAACAACCCGCTCTGGCACTATATAGTACAGTACAGCCTAGAATATTATTTAGATACTACTTCTGCTTCTTGCTTACACATTTGCGCGTTATGCCTAGTCTAATTGCACTGTCCGCAGCGCCTTTAGGATGGCTTACTTACTTTAGCTTGCACCTGTAACGATTCTACGAATCGTTCCATCTCGGGTCGCTCGGATCCTATCCGAAGGGTCCCCGTATCGGCCCCGACCATGACTCGACCCAGTCCCCCGCAGTTACCCCTATTCCCTCATGTATTTAGTCGCACCTCGCCCCCGTAGCTAGCTCGGGAGTTTTCTGATATCCTACGTACAAGGCCTATAGGTGTCATTGGTATTCCCAGGTCTCTGAGTCCCCACGCACTCCCATATGCCTCTGAGTGGATTCATACCGCATTCGGACCCATTGTCTTGCCTGCGCCGTTACAGCACCTGCTTCTTTACCTTCTTCCTGTTACTGCGCGCCCTAAACTCCTTTAGAGCTGTTAAGCGTAAGCTTTCTTAAATTATTAAAGTCTCTTCTACCTTAATCTGCTTTTTTTTATGTAATTTATGTTGCGTAGCAGCCTTATTAGCTACTTAAAGCTTAGTAATTTTCTATTACACTAACACTAGCTTATGCGCAATTATTGTTGCCCCCTTTAAGACCTTTTTAAACACCTTAACTATAGAAGTTAGTAAACTATTTATATGCTTTTAAATCTTTGTCTTTATAAGCATTAATTATAACCTAAGTTCTAGAGTATTACTTAGGGTTTATAACTGCTAGGGCTTGTTGTATATAGGTAGTAGTAGTAATAAAGTGCGTAACTTTACATTAAGGCTTATTATAACTTGTTGTGGGTTAAAAAGAACTAATTTAGCGCCTTAAAACCCTTCTTAGATATTACTAAAAGTAATTACAGCATTATAAGCTACTTTAAAGCATAGTAGGAACTTTATTTTTATAATATAAGTAATCTAGTTATGCATAAGGTTTTTAGCTTAGCACCTATACACTTTCTTTAAAAGAGTAAAACAACCTATATTAAGTAGCTATAGAAGGTGCAATAAGTAAGAAGGCATGTAGATAGTAATAATTTTATTATTTTTATAGTATTACTAGAAATAAAGTAAGTTATAGCTCTTATAGCTATTAATAACTAGCAGACAGTAGCTGCTAACAGTACACTTTTTTATATGCGTGTTAAAGTGCTTTAACTAGTCTAGACTAAGCTAATTAGTAGTCTAGCTGCGCTTAAAGATTACAATAACTTAATTCTAGAGTAGATTTTCCTTCTTGTACTAGTTTAAAAGGTAGTTACCACCCTAAAAAATAATAAAGGGCAAAATAGCTTACTTTTTAGCATTAATGCTTTAGATAGCTGTTGTCTACTTCTAGTTGCCTAGCTAAACTGCTTTTAGCTGTCCTTATCTCTCTAAACCTATAACAACTGCTCTAGTAAATATCTAGCCTATTATAAACCCTATTTTATTAAAGTTGTACATGTTGTTATTCTAGATGCTATACTTAGCTTTAATATTCTCTATAAGGTTAAACTAGCCTTAAATTACTATAAGATCTTTATAAAAAGCACTTTTATAGTTATACTTACACTTAAACTTTACTTTAAGCTCTAAGTAACACTTAATAAACATATTAGGCTAGTTTATGCTAATATAGCTTATATTATGCTTAGTGTGTAAAGAATTAGCTATATTAGCTATAGCTGCTAGCTAGGGGGGAAATCCTTGCGCATTTAGCTTAAGTATGTGCTAAATAATTACCTGCTTTTTATTATTATCTAGCTTTTATAAGTTAGCTATATAATTAGCTTAGAAAGGTTGTTTAGCGTGTTAGTTACTTATTATCTTTTAAAAGACTCTATAGATAGCTGTAGCATGTTAGTTAAAAAGTATTATGTTTTATTTAAAAGCTTAAAGTGTAAGCTACATCTAACATTCCTTTAACACATTTAAGTAGTGTTGTTAGGAATGCATTAGTGTAGAAAGAGTAGTGTGGTGGGGTTTTAGCAAAAGTAAGTAACTTAGGTGTGTAAGCAACTTGCCTATAAAGTATGTTAATGTATTTATTTATTTACTTAGTTAGCAGTAACTTTAAATTCTTAATAGTCTTTTACTATGTAGTTTTTAACTAGACAGTTAATGCTTTCTACTTTATAGTAGTATAAAAGTTAATTATTTTATTAGTTAGCTTTTTACTAAAAATAGTAGAAGGTGTAATTAGAGGCCTTTTTACATTTAATCTAGGGTTTCTTTTTATAAGTTAGGCCTGTGCTGCAGTATTAACAGTTTAGCATTTTACACATAGTAGCTAATCTTATTAGGGTGTCTATAAACTATTTGCTTTCCTGTGCTCTAATTAGCTACTATCTAGCCTAGTGTTTAGTTAGCTAGTGCTAGACACAGTACTTATTTATGCATAAATACTACATATAAAGGCATTATTTAAGGTTAGTGTAAATTAGTATAGGCTGTATCTAGGCCTATTATAGGTATTCTTTTGTCCTAATTATCTATAAGAAGTGGCCCTTATATTTACATTAGAAGTTGTTGTGTTGCTTGCTTCTGCATAAAATGCAATATCTGTAAATTTATTATTCCTCTAGCTCTTTTCTTATTACTGCTAGAGCTAGAGGTAGTGTGTTTAGTTATTTACTTAATAGGGCTAGAGTTTAGAGAGGTGTCTAGTGCTAGTTAAGGCCTTTTTCTTTTACTAGTATCTTTTTAAAGAATTTTTATTATTCTTTTTTATTTAGTATATTATAATAGACTATAGTAATCCTTTTTATAACTTTATACATATTATAGTTGTTATCTAAAGCTACTTTATAAAGCCTTATTCTGCAGAGGTTGTAATTATAAAGTCCTCTACACTTTTAGTAGTTCTCTTATTTAAACTGTTGCTTAAGTTCTTTAATTAAGACTCTTAGTCTACTTTATTTAAAAGAGTATAGTTTCTCTCTTTTTCTTACATTTTTAACATAGTTAGCTACTTACATTAGGTTCTGCTATCCTTTAAGGACTACAGCTTATTTAATAGCCCTAAAGATACTGTCTTTTTTCTAGACTACTACCTTCTAATAGTCTACTAGATAATTAGAGAATTTGTAATTAGCTCTACATCTTTAGCAAAGTTATTTGTTAAGCCTGTTATGTATTTCTTTATAAGTTAAGCCTTTGTTAGTAAACATAGCTTTAATAGCTAACCTAACATTTTTATTCTTTAGTTGCTTAAAGTCTAGGTATTTTTAACAAAAGTAGCTTACTTTTTTATAGTTAAGGCATGCTTTTTTTTAAGCTATTTTCTTTGTTTCTTATTTAAAAGTAGCCTTATACTTTAAAGGGAACTACTCTTTTTTTTTAGAGAAGCTACGTGTATACTTAGTGTAACTAAGATTTATTAGTTTGCTGTTAAATTATAAAGTCTTCTTTTTTTTTAAAACTATTTAGTTTTAGAAGTTGTTACGCCTATTTTTTTTCTTTATGTTACTTAGCATGTCTTTTATTATAAGTAAGTGCTTTTTTAATATATTTTTTAAAGTCCTTAAGCTTTCTAGTGTAAGTAAATTTATTTTTAATTATATCTAAAAGCTTATTATAGAATATTTATCTTATTACTTTTTAATCTGTCTATCTGCAGATAGCTAGTTGTTCCCTAAAGTAGGCTGTGTAGTATTAGATAGAGCTTTTTTCTTGTTATAAAAAGTCTATCTTATTAACTGCTAATTTTTTTTAGTTAACTAGCCTATAGATTATAGTTAGGGCTACTTTAAAAAAGTTAATATTTTTAAAGACCTTTTATATTTCTAGTAGTAAGAGTTCCTCTATTATTTAATAGTTTATTTAGTTATTAGCATAAGGTTAGAACTATATAGCAGGCAATTCTTTTAAGTGTAGGCCTATCTATAAGATTATTTCTTTATTTATTTTAAAAGCGCTCTTATTATATTACATGTAGAGGTAGCACCTTATAAAGAAAGGTTTTAGATCTTTAGCTAAGCTATTAAATGCCTTAAGAGGGGCTAGGCGTAGGGTCTTTTTTAATTTAGTACTGTTTTTTTTATGTAATATTTCTAAGGTTTACTACTTCTAACTAAAGGGCGTGTAGTTGTAGGATATTTAAAGATCCTTACTATGCTTGTTGCTAGAGAAGTTACTTAAAGTGCTCTAGCTTATTACAGAAATATAATATCTAGTAGTTTTGTTCTTTTTTAATAGCTATAGGGGTCTAGCTAGTGCTAGCAGCTAAGGCACCTGTTATGCTAATGTCTAAGGTAGTAGCTATACTTTACAGG